CCACTTGATCATCTCAGTAGATGCGAAAAGCCTGTTGATAAGATTCCAACACCATTTCATGATAAAAGCTCTAAGAAAACTAGGACAAACTACAGCCGCATTATACTTAATGGAGAAAACTAAACCATTCCCTCTAAAATCAGGAACTAGACAAGGATGCCCACTATCTCCACTCCTTATTCAACATAGTACTGGAATTCCTAGCCAGAGCTATTAGGCAAGAAGAAGAAAAAGGAATACAATAGGTCAAAGAAACTGTCAAAATATCCCTATTGTAGATGACATGACCTATACCTTAAAGACCCAAAAAACCTACTCAGAGCTCCTAGATACCATCAATAGCTATAGCAAGAATGCAGAATATAAAATCAACATAGAAAAATCATTAGTATTCTATACACTAATATGAACAAACTGAAAAAGAATATATGAAAACAATTCCATTACAATTAGCTCAAAAAAAATAAATTCCTAGTGTAAACCTAACAAAGGATGTGAATGACCTCTACAAGGAAAACTATAAACTTTGAAGGAAAGACTGAGAAGACTATAGAAAGTGGAGAGATCTCCCATGCTCATGGATTGGTAGAATCAACATAGTAAAAATGCCTATACTCCCAAAGTAATCTACCATGTTTAATGCAATTCTCATCCAAAATTCCAATGACATTCATTAACAGAGATTGAACAGCTACCGTTAAATTTATATGGAAACACAAGAGGCACAAATAGCCAAGGCAAATACTCATCAAAAGAACAATGCTGGAGGTATCACGATACCTGACTCAAACTATATTACAAAGCAATACAATAAAAACAGCACGGTACTGGCACAAAAACAGACACAAAGACCAGTGGAACAGAAAAGAAGACCCAGATATGAAGCCACACAACTATAGCCAACTTGTCTTTGGCAAAGGAGCTTAAAAATATAACGATGGAGAAAGCAGCCTCTTCAACAAAAACTGCTGGGAAAACCGGTTAGCAGTCTGCAAAAAAAACTGAAAACTAGATCCTGTATATCACCCTATACCAATATTAACTCAAAATGGATCAAGGATCTTAATATCAGACCACAAATGCTAAAGTGATACAGGAAAGAGTAGGAAATCTCTGCATTAGTAGTATAGGTCAAGAACTTTCTCATGGAACCAGCAGCACAGCGCTAAGGAGATAGACTCATAAACTAAAAAGCTCTGCTCAACAAAAGAAATGGTCCTAACTGAAGAGAACACCACAGAGTGGGAGAAAATATTTGCAGCTACACATAACAAAGGACTGATAACCAGAATATACAGGGAACTTAAAAAACTAAATTCTCCCAAAACTAATGAACCAATAAAGAAATGGGCAAGTGAACTAAACAGAACTTTCTCAAAAGAAGAATTCAATGGCCAAAAAATATGAAAAATGCTCACCATCTCTAGCAATAAAGGAAATGCAAATTAAAACACACTAAGATTCCACCTCACCCCTGTTAGAATAGCCATCATTAGCAAACACCACCAATAACAGGTGTTGGCGAGGATGTGGGGAAAAAAGAACCCTCTTACACTGTTGGTGGGAATGTAAACTTGTACAACCACTCTGGAAAGCTACTTAAAAAGCTAAGCATTGATCTACCATTTGATCCAGCAATACCACTTTTGGGGATATACCCAAAAGACTGTGACACAGGGTTACTCCAGAGGCACCTGCACACCTTGTTTATTGCAGCACTATTCACAATAGCCAAGTTATGGAACAGCCAAGATGCCCACCAGTGAAGAATGGATTAAGAAAATGTGGTATCTATACACAATGGAATTTATGCAGCCATGAAGAAGAACGAAATGTTATCATTTGCTGGTAAATGGATGGAATTGGAGAACATCATTCTGAGTGAGGTTAGCCTGGCCAAAAGACCAAAAATCGTATGTTCTCCCTCATATGTGGACATTAGATCAAAGGCAAACACATACAGGGGATTGACTTTGAGCACATGGTAAAAGCGAGAGCACACAAGGGAGATATGAGGATAGGTAAGACACTAAAAATTAGTTAGCATTGTTGCCCTCAACGTAGAGAAACTAAAGCAGATACCTTAAAAGCACTGAGGCCAATAGGAGAAAGGGGACCAGGAACTAGAGAAAGGTTAGATCGAGAATTAACCTAGAAGGTAACACACATGCACAGGAAATTAATGTGAGTCAACTCCTTGTATAGCTATTCTTATCTCAACCAGCAAAAACCCTTGTTCCTTCCTATTATTGCTTATACTCTCTCTTCAACAAAATTAGAGATAAGGGCAAAATAGTTTCTGGGGGGTATCGAGAGGGTGTAGGGGGGGAGAGGGAGGGGGTAGGGTCAGGGGGGAGAAATGACCCAAGCATTGTATGCACATATGAATAATAAAAAAAAGTAAAATTAATAATTTTCCAAACAGAAAGTATAAAACCCAAAAGTGTTCACTGGTAAATTCTACTAAACATTTAAGAAAGAAGTTATGCCAATTCTCTAGTCTATTTCAGAGAGTAGAAGCAGAGGGAGTATTTCTTAACTCATTCTATGAGGTCAGTATTGCCCAGTACCAAAATGAAAGAAATTGTAAGAAAACTATAGATACCTTTCCTGAACAGCTGTCAGCATTGCTTACCTATTAGAGAGCTACCTTGTTGTGTGCAGTCTAGTTTGTGACCTATAATGAAAAGTTTATTTTGGTTTACTGTTCTAGAGGTCCAAGTTAATCAGAGGCCTGCATCTGGTGACGGAGTCCCAGCATGGCACAGGGTATCGCATAGCAAGAGGTAAGGAACACTCACATGGCAGGTTGGAATATCCTCTGACTCTCATTTTTTCCTAATCTTTATCACCTCTCAATGCTCCACCTCAAAACACCATAGTCAGATTAAGTTTCATTCTCTTAATAAATAGCTTGCCATGAGGATTAAATTTCAAAGAACAAATAGGAAATGTATTCAAATAATTTTAGGGGAAAGCAATATAGATTTTCTGTTACTTTGAGTTTATATCTCTTCTTTCTTTCTGCCTCAGACTGGACTGAAAGGGATTTTCACTTGATTTACTTAGCTGATCAGGAGGCTATAGACTGACTTTCTACTCTTTCAGTAATAATCTGTAATTTTAACCATCCACTCAAAACAAGACATCTAAATTATTAAGTAGCTTTAACATCTTTTTAAAAAAAGCTTTAACATCGTTTTAAAAAGCTTTAACATCTTTTCAACTTTTTTTTTTTGGGGGGTGGTACTGGGGTTTGAACTCAGGGCCTCAACACTTGCTCAGCAGGTGCTCTACCATTTGAGCCACTCCGTCAGCCTCTTTTCAACTTTTTAACAGAAGTTAACATACTTTACCATGCCTGTTAACATGCCAGTAAACAAGCTCCACCTTTTCAGCTGACTGGTTTTTTCCACATTTTAGCAAGAAAAAAAATGAACTTACTGACAGATTTCATAACTTGTGCTCACCACTATTTTCATTTCATTCTTCCATTGAAGATCTATAAAGAGTACACTCTTCGCTTTTCTTGCCTAGTAATTCTAGTTCACTCTTGGCATTACATGAGAGCTTAGTTGTAATATGAGACTTCAGGCATTTGTTGTTCCTGCTGAGAATTATAGTGTTCCTTTAGCAGTGTTCCCATATGAGGAATCTTGATTTTCTTTATGCTAGACTGTATAATTTTCAGTACATACACAGCATATTGCAACCTCCGTACAGTATGTCTCAGTTTATGCTTATTTTACCTTGTACTTCACAGTACCTATATTAAGTTTCAAACTTAAAAACTCAAGTGTTTCTTTAAACATAGAAAAATTTCAGCCATTATGTTTTTCTGTCTTTTCTTCTGTTTTTTTTTCCCCTGAAACACCTATTATACAATTGTTCCGATTCCCCAATCTATTATTTACTTTTTAAAACCATTCTCTCAATTTGTATTTTCTATCTCACCATATTGCCTTTGGGTGAATTACTTTTTCTCTTTCGTTGGCTTCATTCATTCTCTCTTTGACTTGGCATTTATTCTGCCCCAATTTTTTGCTTTGTGTTTTATGTTTCATTTCCAAAATTGTTAGTTGGTTATTTTCGCATCACCCTGTTATCATTTCACTATGGGCAATTTATTACTTTGAATCTCTCCAGCTCCTCAGTTCTCACATGCATTAGTCACACAATACACACGCTCAGTCCACCATACTTGCGTTGAATACAGTAGCCTTGGTGCTCTTCTGAACGGCTCTTTCTACTTCAAATCAATGCTGAATATAATATACACGCAGCACTCAGGTGTTAGGCTATATACTATTAAAGTAATTTTAAAAGACTTGATTGAATCTGAGAACTTACGTTTTGTATTCTGTGTAAGAGTCTTGGAGTACTTTTATGCTGGTGTAAGGTGTGGAAAGGATTTAAGAGATGCTTTTTACATAGCTAGGTAAAGACTGATGGGCTTCCTGTTTTTCTTGTAGTCTTTTAACTTCTTATAGAGCTATCCAGTTCTACTTTGGAACTGTTACAGTATAGAAACACCTATTGTATCTTATTTCAGAAATGGCTATATTCCATAGTAAATAAAATAATTTGGGTTGCCTTCAGATGAGAGTCAGAAAAGTATGTGAACACAAACCATACTGGGCATAGTTTTTCCACATGAATTTGAATCATCCACATAGGCGCACCTTGGTAAAAGTAAGCTATTTTTTCATGAGTTTTCTATATTCACGGAAATATTTTCAATTTAATTATTCCTGGGCTAAGCACTGACAATACTATGAAGCTAAAAATCATTGAAATAAATGAAACTTTAAAACATTATGGAGGATTTTCAAATATTTTCCTGAAATACACTACGGATCATTTCACTAGAGTAATTATTATAAAACTAGACAATAACTAAAACAAACGAGAGAGTTTTCTAGGTTTGGCAATGGGGTCTCTGTCGAGTTCAGTGCGGGTGGCACATGCTGCTCTGACTGATGGTCTGAAGCTCCACTCACTTGACTCACGGCAGACCAACAGGACAATACTCCACGTACACTGGATACACCAAACTAGGAGACTGCCAGGACCTGAAACACAATTTTGAAATACTGAAATTTATCAGAGATTATGTTAGGCTAGTCAGGCTGTCTGGAATGAATAATGATTTAGGCATACTAATCTCATAAGTATTAAAAAATACTATAATCTTTTTTATCAAAAAATGCCTAACTTCTACTCTTTGGAGTAGCCTAGGTACTCACTCACATGGATCTTTCCACTTGAAATCAACACTGTGTGTAGGAAGTACTTGTGTACTGGACTACAGTGACTACACAGGGTTTTTCTTCTGAAGCCTTGCTGGCAGCACCATCTGAGTGCACTCTGCTTCTGCCTTACAAAGTGACACATCACTGAGGATCTCATAATCAGTGTCCATATGACAGGCCTATTGGATTGTTTTTAGAAAATATTTTCTTGGATAAGGTCCAGAGACCTCCAGCAGTTGAGGCTACTGCCTTCAAAAAGCTATGGCCTGAAGTCAGCCTGATCAATGTGATCCCTTCTAAATGAGCCCAGCCATACTGCATGGAATGACATCACTCAGGGATGTGGTGAGGAGGTTACTCATACCACCCCACAACACATTCTGATGCAGACCTTTCCTCAAGAAATTTCTAATGCTAACACTGCTGACTTCATCAGTATTAATGACATGCAAGTGAAAACTCATTATTTTTTATACATATAAGGAAAGCCTGACTACCTACTTTTCTTACAGCTCCATGTTTCCCCCCACGTTCCTTAGTTAGAAACATTGTATTATTACATCTATCGTCCTTATAATGTTTACTTGCATTTCTCTACATGGGACAAGACAATTATTGAAACAATTTTAAAGCAAGGATCTAGAAAAAAGAGAACACTTAAATGTGTGAAACTCCTGGCTTATATATGATTGTGCAGCTCTAATATTTTAGGTTGGAAGATTCTGACTGGTTGCTATGCACAGTGGGTTTTGACTTTCAAGGTTCTTCATGAGTGAGAGTGGAAGGACAGATAGGAGTAGCATCACTAAAATGTTTATTATTGAACTTATTTTTGATTTTGTTTCAAATGGATTAGAGAAACATTTTAAATGACCAAGTTAATGTTTGAGTTAAAATTTAACATGAAGCGTAGAAAACATAAATCACTTCTCAGTTGAATTTGTTTGCTCTCTCAATAAGAGGAGTCAATTTACATTTCTAAGCAGAACTAAAGAGTGGTGATAACTTACAAATATATTTGTACTTAAATGATTCTATTATGTAGAATCATTTCAAAGTGTATGAATACACACTACTTCAGTCATTTTTGATCCACATACACACTCATTCTATTTTCAGTTTTTAAGAAGTAGCTATTTAACTGGTAAGTTCAGACAGTCCAAGGATAAAATATTCTCTTTTTAAAAATAAATCCTAGCATCATGACCCAATACAATGCCAGTATAATCTGAAAAATCTCTCTCCTAATCTTTGTAATGCCATCTTTTCCATTTACTGTATGCAAAACTGCATTACATTAAAACCCTTTGAGGGACTATGAAAGCCTATGGAAAAGCTGTAGCACTTGTGAGCTCTCTCCTGCAATTCAACTTATCTTAAAGCTTAATTTACCCTAGTCCTTAAAAGATATGTTTTCTTTTTATGTTCATTCCATTTAGGTGTTTATTATCTAGAGAAGCATGGGTCATGAATGTACACAAACCGTGCTTCACCAAAACCTTAGCAAATCAGTTCAATTTACCTCAACTGTGAGTTCCAATGTATCTGTCTCCTAAAAAATCTTTACAATTATTGAGATGATTACACTTATTAATGTTGATAGAAATATCAATATCAAAATATTAATATTAATAAAGAAGATAATAATCAATAGGATCCAGGATTATTTTATATTGAATACTTTTAAATTCAACTACATGACTAAGTTACTTTAAGTTACTAACAAGATTTTCTTCCAAGTACAGAAAAAGATTTACTGTCAATCCTGACATCTAACTATTTAATCATGTCTTGCAGACATTCCTCGATGGAAACTGGGTGGATGAATAAACCCACAACAAGACCTAGGCGCTAGATAACGCCATGCAGAATTAAGAAATTAATTAGGAGGAAGAACCATAATTTGCAAAGCTGACATCTATTTTACTTTACTTGCATGTATCAATGGGAAGCAATTACAATTCAATTAAAATATTCAATTTTATTACTTTACTGACTGACCTTGAAGTTAATGTCTGTTTTATCTGACTGCATCATCTATGAATAAATGTTAACCCTACAATGTTATGCCCCATTATTTTCAACTGAATTATATCAGTCAATTTATTATCTCCTGTCATCAAAGCAAATGGAGGTTTATTTCTTCAGGACATCCGGAATATACGATGAGAGAAACATTACAAAATGGTTGAGAATGCTATTTTTATTCCTGACAGAGTAAAGTAAAATGGATTGTGTTTTCATCTCAAGTTTTGTAGCCTAGACTTTTACTGTTAAATCAGTGGGTGATATTAGAAAAGGAGAACAATTTCTAGTCTGTAGCTCTTGACTAATCCACGGCAGACAGGATCTGAGTGTTGCACGCAGCTTCACAGTGGACACACACACAGTGACCACTTCCCATCTCTACCAAGCCCACTGCTTACCAAAACAAGTAAATTACATTTTATAAGCTTTAATTTTTAATACATATAACTTTTATTTGTTCCCAGGTTCTAGATACACACACCAAAGCACTTCTGAGCTAAGAGAGCAATGCTGGAGGTATCACAACTCCTGACTTTAAACTATATTACAGTGCGGTAGTAATAAAAAGAGGATGGTACTGGCACAAAAACAGACATGAAGACCAATGGAATAGAAGACCCTGACATAAACCCGCACAACTACAGCCATTTGATTTTTGACAAAGGAGCCCTAAATATGAGCTGGAGAAAACATCCTCTTCAAAAATTGGTACTGGGAAAAGTGGATCTCCACCTGCAGAAGACAGAAACTAGATCCTAGGCTCCTACCCTGCACTGGCATCAATTCAAAGTGGATCAAAGACCCTAATGTAAGATCTGAAGTGGTGAAATCACTCCAGGACAAAACAGGGAGCAATGAACCACACAGGCAGAGGTAATAACTTTATGAATGGAATTGTAATAGCTCAGCAATTAAGAAAAAGTACTGACAAAAGGGACTGCATGAAACTACGAAGCTTCCGCCCAGCAAAGGAAATAGTCACAAGACTGAAGAGACAGCTTACAGAAAGGAAGAAAATCTTTGCCAGCTATACACCTGACAAGGAATAACAGTCAGAATTTACTAGAAACTCAAAAAACTAACCCTGCAAAGAATCAACAACCCACTGAATAAATGGGTAAATGAACTGAACACACAGTTCTCAGGAGAAGAAATACAAATGGCCAATAAATACATGAAGAAATGCTCAGCATCCTTGGCCATAAAGGAAATGCAAATCAAAACAGCATTGAGATTCCACCTCATGCCTGTCAAAAATGGCTCTCATCAATAACACAAACAACAAATGACAGCAAGGATGTAGGGAAAAACAAACACTTCCATATTGTGGTAGGACTGTAGACTAGTGCAACTGTTATGGAAAACAGTATGGAGGTTCCTCAAAAATCTAAGAACAGAACTGCCATATGATCCAGCAATACTATCCTGGGCATAAACCAGAAGGAATGTGCTCCAGGATGTGACAGAGCCACTTGCACACCCATGTTTACTGCAGCACTGTTTACAACAGCCAGACTTTGGAAACAACCCAGATGCCCCACAACTGACAAATGGATTAAGAAAATATGGTACATATACACAATGGAATTTTATTTGATAAGGGAGAATGAAGTCATGTTGTTTGCAGGTAAATGGACGGAGCCGGAGAACACCATGTTAATTGAACTAAGGCTCCAAAGGCCAAGGGTCACATGTGGAGTCCGGAGCACCCACAAGCTAAACGCACACATACACGTACATATGATGCACATACGTACGGGAAAGAGAACAAGACTGCACCAGTGGGTCTGTCTGGGGAGTACAGGAGGTGGGAAAGGGAGAGACAATGCTAGAGAGTGAAAATAATGAAACATTCCATCTGTGAGTGGAGATAATATAATGTTAATGCACTGTAATATCAGGAGCAGGGCAGCAGAGGACGAGTAAGCAATGGGGGTTAGCATGATAAAGCACAATATATACATGTCTGAAATGCCAGGTGAAACCCCTGTGGACTGTCAAAATATACTCAAAAAATGAAGGATGGGAAGGTAAAACAGGTCTTTTCTGGGGTGGGTGGCAGTGGGAGGGGGTAAGGCATAAGGAAAGGGTGAATGAGGGCAAAAATGGTGGATGTATTTTGTATTCATGAATGAAAATAGAAGAATGAAACCTGCTGAAACTATTCTAAGAAGGAAGGAGGGGGGATGAGGGAGAATGATGGAAGGGTGAACCTAATTAAACTATATTGTAAGCATATATGCAAATACCACAATGTATCCTCCTGTACAACTCTTATATGCTAACCAAAACCAAAACCAAACCTCACCTCATGACTTCTTTCTGAAATAATACAGCAGACTCATATTTACAGATTCACTTTAAGATCTCTGGCATATTAAAAGTCTACATCAGGTTTTCCACTGTCTAGTGGAGTAGGGTTATCAGAATGTTATCAGCTACCTTAAGCTCAAACTCATCTATGCATATGCTGCTTTGTGACCTTCCCTACTCACGCCTCTTGCTGCGCACTCTCCTATGCTGGTCTCCAGGCCTATCCAACACGTATGTCCTGCTTGCCATCTCCCTCACATACCAGGCAGTTAGTCTTCTGATTTCTTCATTAGCTCTTTTCCTATCCAAGAACATTCCATTCCAAGTATGCACATCTCTAGTACTTTCTGGTCTCAGTCTATGCCATCTCTTCATAAAGAATGTCCCCAAACTTTAGATACTGCCACATATTTCCTCTCCCCAGGCCTCCATTCTTCTCTATGTCAGTGTCTATTGTAGCACTTCCTTATTTGTAAGCT